TGCTTATTTTGAATGATATTGTAGCTTTTGTTTTTATGTATAGCAAATACATGCATATCTTTTTATGTATAGCAGATATATACAGCAATGTCTGGAAAAATGTATATCAAGCAGGTCTCGTCGTCAGCAGAGAAAAATCTTCTGATTATAATAAAGTGATTTTTCTAGGCTGAAGAAGAAGCAGAGCAATTTGAACACATTTAAAAAAAAACCTTGTTCTAACATCTTCACTGATGGCTTTTAACAAGGCAATACTGGCTTATTAGTGAACTAAGAAGGATGCTATAAAAACATTATATAGAAATTATCCCTAATTACTTAAATAAGACTTTTTAGAGTCAAACTAGAAGATAAATACTACCAGAACTAAGATATAAAGAACGCCGATACTTTACCTTCTCTAGACGAGGGATTTTCCGAAAATGAGTGGCGTAAATTGCAACGTTTGTAGAATAGGGACCATCATCAACCATTCTTTCGTAAGACGCATCTCTCTCTTACGATACAAAATAAAATAGTAATAACAATCAAGTTTTAAAGTATATGTGGGCTTACGATTTTCAATTGTCGGATTGTACATACAACAACAGTCCAAAAGCAACAAGTTATAATTTTGTTTTATATAGTGTGTTTGGCAACTCGTGTTATAAACTTCGGCAGATGTTTCTATATTCAAAATGGAACCAAAAAGACCGAATTAACTATGGTCTGAATTTCAACAGTTACGGAGATATTCCCCGTTTTCTGATTTTCGTAAGATTTCACGACCTTATTTCAAACAATGATAACTCAAAATCGAAAGGTTTTGGAAAATCCGTTGATACCATTGAAAAGTGCGTTAAATTTTCAATAAGATGTGATCAATTTGAAACTTGTAAACGTTGATGAAATAAGCGTTTTAGTAGCCAGAACTTTGAAAAAAAAAAATTTTTAATGTTGCAAAACTTACTGTACAAACTAACTTAACTACTATTTCCACACCTAGAGTCCAGCGAATTTCAGAAAACGTACGCCATTTTTTCATCCTTTTTAGTAGTTTAATTGCGTTTTTAATGACTTTTTTTTAAAGATGAAGATATTTAAGAAAAGAAGAAATACTTTAGAAAAATTTGAATTTAAGTTTTTCAGCATTGAAAAAATATATTTTTCAACGTTCTGGCTACTAAAACGCTTATTTCACAAACTTTTGCAAGTTTAGATAGATAGATAGATATACTTTATTTACAAAATGAAAAAATTTAGAGTTAAAAATAAAAAACAGTATTATTATGGCATGGTATTAAAACCGTCAGCCAGAGTTCGGAGTACATTACTATCCCAAGAATATGCATAATTATATAATTATAAGAAAAGGAGAATTTACAATATCAACTTCAGAGATTACAATTATTTACAGGATTTTCAAATTACAAGGTTCAATTGCGATAAACTTTGAAAATAATAATTTTTAAAAAATAATAATAAAAAAACTAAAAAAACTTTTATTATTATATTTTTTATTATTTTGCAAGTTTATTATTGATCTTATAGGAGATTTAACGCAGCTTTCAATGGTATCAACGGATTTGTCCAAAACCTTTCAGTTTTGGAGTTGCCATTGTTTGTTTGAAGCAAGGTCGTGAAATCCTACAAAAATCAGAAAAAGGGGAATAACTCCAAAACTTTTGAGATACTGAACATAGTGATTGAAGACGTTTTGGTTCTATTTTGAATGTAGTAACTATTGGCAAAGTTTGTAACACGAGTAGCCCTGTATATACATTAAAAATAATGCAATATAAAAATAATAGTCTAAAACAGAGTTTTTGTTTAACCACACCTGTTTCCCAGTTATATATACGTTCTTTGAATATTCAGAGAGTTACTCTTTTTCTTGAGAAATGTATCTTTAGACTTGAATATTTAGTAAGATGTGACCAACGTTTGAATTTACATTTTTATATTTCAGTGAACAGAAATAGATATGCATAACACGAGTGAATGTCTATTTGCAACTTAAATCTTTACTAAAGAAGAAAAGAGTTTTTTTTTTTTTTTAAGGTTTACATTTTTAGATTTTAGTTAAGCCTGCCTGAAGCAGCGTCCTAATAAAATTCTATACTACCCTGTTGAGACTTTCGACTCCTGTTATTGCTCAGTAATACGACACTGTTGAGAATAATGTTATTACATTTTCCTTCCGAGTAAACCACGTTATGGGCGGCTCGTTAGACGCTGTTTTATAATACGGACCGGGCGTGATTTTCCTCTCGTTAACTCCTTTCCCCTGTAAAATTCGTACAGCGTTACAACAAAAGATTTTTTTCTTACCGTACTAATGAGGACCAGCAGCCGGCTTGGCCGATTTCAAAGATTTCCGGTGTTACGAACGTTTTTAACTATAAATAATCAAAGAAAAATGATGAAAATTGGCTATTAATTCTGTCAGATATTCCATTGAGCTGATTCAGCGGCAAAATTGATTTGAAAAAAGAAATTGTAATTTGGTCGTTACCTATCATTTTGGTTGGCCTATCCTAGTTGTGTTGGTTTGTCAGGCGCGTTTCGGCATTTCGCCATCTTCTGGTGATTTTTGTTATAACGTGCCTATTATAAGGTCTTGAAAAGTAGGATACGTGTGTGCGTGTACCAATTAGAAAGAAAATATACCGTTGATCAGAAAGCAGTCCAGAACAATAAAAAAACCTTAGTAGACAATTCCGCAAAGGCACTGACACAAAACAAAATGCTGATGTACCGCCATACCTGTGATGACCTAATCCATAAATGTGTGATGTTTAGTGACCGTTAGTTAATGATTATTTGGAGATCGTGAGATGCGGTCTGGTGTGACGTAGGTTTTAGAAAAACATCTTCTTTATCGCGCCAATGTTTCGATCTTTATTGAGATCATCTTCAAGGCCTGGAATTTATAAACATTGTTTAAATTATAAAAATACTTGTAGGATGTGAAAAAAAAATGAATTTATACAATGCTAGAAATTTTAGATTAAATCAAAGTATTTGTGCTCACTCAAAGTGTTTGTTTTCTGTGTAGATGTGTCATTCTTGTGTGTCGTGTTAAGAGAGCCAGAGAGATATTGTTTTATGTCTTTATATGATGCATTTTGAAGGAGTGGGGAAGGAAGTCGGGCTAGAACACACACTTTTTTCCAAAATTAAAGATCCCACACCAATAACAAATAAATCCAACGTAATTTACAAAATCAATTCTTTAAATTGTTTGGCATCTTACATCGGTATTACCTTCAAATATCTGGTTAAGAGAGTAAAACAACATATCTATGGTTGCAAAAAAGCCTAAACAAAATCTTACAGCACTGGCTACCCACCGTTTTGAACACCAACACAATTTCGACTTCAAGAATTCAAAATATTACACACAGAACAAAACAAACATAAACGTAACCTTTTAGAAATTGTTTACATCAACAGGGATAAACACAGCATCAATTACAGAACAGACACATGTAAACTCAGCCGCAGCTATGCTAATATTATCAATCAAATTCAATATCGATAACAAACATATATCACCATCACATCACACAAAATATATAACATATAAAACAATAATCACATTCCACACATCAAACATTTCTACATAGTCTAATTCTTCAACAATCTGGCTTTCCTTTCCCTAATTATATCCGTCTATAATAATAATAATGATGATAATTTCCGTACAGGGAGTGTGTCGGCATGCCATCCAATCTGAAAATGGTACTCGAGCACTGCAGCGGGTGCTGGGTCCCCTGTTCCGCTTTTTGGGGGAAATTGAGTTTTTTTTATTGTATATAATATGTCTTATGTGTTGTGTATCTAAATGTTTTGTCTGAGTGCATGTATTTATTAGCGTGAATGGCGAGGAGTGAGGGCGAAATATAACGTCATCATCGCCCCTCGAACGTTGAAAGCGTAAGAGTGTATGTTCGGGGTCGATGGCGGAATATTTATAAAAGTACTCGATCGACCCCAATCTAGATTAGTTTGAGTATAGGGTCGGTGGAGGAATATCAAGTACTCCACCGACCAAACGGAATGAGTGTTCTGTATGGATGTATTTATGTGTATGAATGTATTTATTTGTATGAATGTAGTGTTTGCAAGGGTAAATACAATATAGACTTAATGACCTGATGTCGGAAGCCCCAGTCAAAAATAAAATAATAATAATGATAATTAGGCCGAACCATTACCCAATTGCCCATTGTCGGCTCCTTTCACCTCAAACAAGCGAGTACAAATACTTTGATTGAAACTCAAATTTCTAGCATTGTATAAATTCATTTTTTCACATCATACATGTATTTGTAAAATGTTGTAAAACAATGTTTATAAATCCCAGGCCCTGAAGATGATCTCAATAAAGATCGAAACGTTGGCACGTTAAAGAAAATAGTTTTCTCAAACCTACGTCACACCGGACCGCATCACATCATTCCAATCAATAAGATTTGACCGTACAAAAATCACAGATTTGAAACTGAAGATGGCGAAACGTTCTGGTGGATCAACATAATGAAGATAGGCAAATCAACGTGATTCATAACGACCAAATTACAGGTTCATCACCCCGCAGACCACATAAAAAATTAAACAATGAAAAAGAATAATTATGCTTTTTAGTTATTACATTCACAATATTATGTATGTTAAAATTGATTAGTGCACCCATCAAATTTATTATTTGTTGACATAAACGACAAAATTTAAATTGGTTTTGCACATGAGGATTTAAAAAAACCATATATAACGTTTCAGTTTTAAAATAAACTTGCGAACGTTTACAAAAATGAATTAAAGACATACGGTGGCCTATTAATTTTATAGCGGTATAATACAATCACAAAAGTGTTGTTGTTTTATTGTTGTTTATATGATTGTTTTATCTAAAAAATAAAGACAGGTCATATAAACTCGACGATTTAATTAATAAAGATCGTTAATGAAAATCCGTATTTCCTTTAAACACAAAAAGTATTGTTGTATCATTGCTACTTGTATACACTTTAAAAATACACATGGCACAATTGGAAGTAGGTAATTTTATTAACAAAATCATCGATACATGTGATAAAAACTTACCAACACAGCTGATCACACACAAAATTTAGCCCATCAAACTTTGGTCAAATTCATTTTAAATTCATGCGTTTTCAATAACAAGGCCTGGCAAAGCCCAGGGGATGTACAACCACAGAAGACAAACTGCCCAAACAAAAAACAGCATCTACAAGCTTTTCGGATCCAATGCTCATCAATCAAGGTATTTTATTTTTTAGAAAGTTCACTAGATCTTCTTTTAACACTACGAGCCATATTGTATACTGTATTTCATTCACAGATTTCCTCAAATTGTACTATCAAACTTTAAACTTCATATATTGTTTTACAATTACGCAATTTTTTCTTTTAAAAAACTATTATGGCGCACATATTGATAGGTGTTTTGTACTGAATCTGCTGTAATAAGTGAGCGGAGATGGTTAATTACATACAGCATACAATGGATGTTTAATGTATGTCCTTTCCTTGTGATCTGGACCGGCATGGAATACAAATTAGAGATTCGAAGGAAATTAGGTAGCGCTCCCTTATCCCCGTCTGCGGTGAATTTAAAACACCAAGATCCAGAAAATGCCATACATCTATCATTATAATTCCCGTCGTACAATGGCCCCAAGTAATGAAATATCACGTAATTTATATACTCCGCGGTAAATTTACAACATTTGACCCAACCATTTGTAATTGCAATTACGTCTTCGAAAATGTAGCTTTACACGTCGATTTCTGAGACTGGTGAGGGAATTCATGCCCAACAGCTTGTAAAATCGGTATGGAAATTAACACAATTATGCAAATATCTTAACTTCCATTTGTAATAGTGCACGATTTTGATCGGGGATTATTTGATTAGGAACATCTTTTGTATCTCTATTAAATCATAGATCCTTTAACGGCAGTTAGTCGATCATTAAAGAATGTTCTAGATATATCGTTATTATTTTATCAATATGTATATTAATATATTTATATATTTATTATTATAAAAGCATAGGTTGAATAAAAAATTCTGAATAAAAAACTATTTAATTTAAAATCACTGTTGTTTTATGAAAATTGTCTTGATCCATATATTCTCGCTTGTCTGTTCAGTTTTCTCATCCTTTAGTCCTCCATTTTATTTCAACGTTTGTAGCACTGGTATTGTCCCTGAACTCAGAACAAAATGTTCGTTCATTAAAACTGGAAAAACTAATTCATTCATTCCATGTTAGGGCTAGATATTTATTCTAAAACGCAAACTAATCCATGCTGTTTTTGTTGTCCTTTGTTTTGCATCCGGCTACTGCAGTATGTATAAAAAACAGGAGACAACAATCTTGTCTTAAGAACGCGTACATGCGATACTTGCCAGACAGGACAATCTAGTACTTGTTAGACGTCCATGCTTGTCTAAAACAGTAAAGCATATCAAAATATAACGCTTTTAAATTATTAAAGATTACAATCTATAATGTGATGACTACAAATTGTTTTCTTCATTAACACTAAGAACAAACTATCGTTCAGTCCTTTTTATTGAGGGTGTTCTAGTATGAGAGAACTGGTGCTATCTCTATTTCACTGCATCTCACTCACTCATTCTCTCTCTCTCTCTCTCTCTCTCTCTCTCTCCCATATTTCTCCTTCCCGCTCTACAACACGAAATATTACATAAAACTATGTAAAAATATCAAAGATTTCCAGAATAGTCTTAAAAATCACCTCTTATTAAGTTATGATTGATGACATTCGCTGTCTTAAATTTATCTTCTTTTGTTGTTTTGTTTTGTTTTATTTTGTTATATTACTATTTAGTGACTAGAAGTTTTATTTTTATATTTATATTGACAATTTATAATTCATGATTTATACCGAATTGTATTGAAAAAGTATTTTTATTCACTTATTTTATAAGTAATTTACTCTTTAATTGCTCAATTATTCGATAAATTAGAATATTTATTTCAATAGGCAATTTGAAGAAAATACGTATGTAGTGCAATTTAAAACGAATAGATCTAACATACTGACCACAAAAATCATGTTATTCGAAGTAATTAATGTTTAATAAATTAGAAGTAATGTAAATTTAGTAATAATTGTATTTCACATTAGATGTAAGAATCATCCTTGAGACCAAATCTAGTGTGAAGGGTAAATTGATAAATTAAGCGATCATCATCATCATCATCTAGATTTATAAATATGTGGCTCCCTCTCGATTTCTCTCTCTCTCTCTCACTCTCTCTCTCTCTCTCTCTCTCTCTCACTCACTCACTCTCTCTCTTTATCTCTCTCTCTATCTATCTATCTCTCTCACTCACTCTCTCTCTCTCTCTTTCTCTCTCTCTCTTTCTCTCTCTCTCTTTCTCTCTCTCCCTCTCTCTCTCACTCTCTCTCTCACTCTCTCTCTCTATCTATCTATCTCTATCTCCATCTCTATCTATCTATCTATGTTTCTCGCTATCTCTCTCTCTATCTAACTATCTCTATCTATCTATTTCTCTATCTATCTATCTACCCACTTTTCTAGCTGTCTCTCTCTCCATCTGTCTATCTACTTCTGTTTTACTTCCTATATTTATTTATCTATATATATATGCCTACCCATCCCTGTCACTCTCTCGATTTATCTACCTCTTTCTTTTTGAAGTGCTTGATGTATCAACCACCTTTCTACTCACGACTACTCTAGGTCACGGTATTGTCTCGATGAAAAAGCAAATTCAGTTTAGGTTGGAATAATGTTACAGTCCTCAGCAATGTTGGGAGTGAGTCTAGTTTTTCGACTTTGTCTAGTTTCTCAAAAAACCAAACAAATTGATCTAACTTTCCAGGATAACGAGATATGAATAGATAAAGAATGTCAAATGGCTAGATACTGATGTGATGTTTTTAACGGTTTTTTGACCCTGAAGCAGTTCAAACGGTTTTTAATTTAGACCACTTGTTTCAGGTTATACGCAAAAACTATTTCCGCACATTGTTTGTTGGTAAAACAAAATCTGCTAAAAGCAATTTTCTCTCTCTGAATCATTAAAGCGAGATACAGCTTGTGCCAATTTTGGTATTGGATAGATTTTTGATTCATGAGAAACTTTACAAAAGATTCGTGGTGTTTTTCTCAAAAACGACCACATTAAAACGTGGGGGGGGCAGAAGTTAAACTTAACCTGATCCATTGAATATAATATGCAAAGGAGTTTCTGTTTAGGACCAGTTTCCTTCACAACTTACAAGCTTCACTTAAATATTTGGTAGATGATTGTTTCAGTATTACAGTTGCGTTGCGTAAAAGAATTAAAGATGTACTTGTCTGATGCACCGTAGACATGCATGTGCGGCAATAGCGGAGAATGCATGTAACATGCCGAGTAAAACCTAAAAAAATTCTCCAGTCTTTTTATTTTCAACGACTTTCATCCACGCTAGCGGTTCCGAGTTTGTCCCGGCTTTTAGGATTTTATTTGAGAATAATTTAATAATTAAAAAATATATTGTAAAGTGGTTTGATTTCTCGTCTAGGACCCACTAGAGAGATGGATGTTAAGCACTTCTATATTTTCATCTTTTATTTTTACTTTCTTTTTTTTCTAGATTAAAAAAGGAATTCAAATTTCAAAAACCGCCTCTTGGAGGCTGATTGCGGGGGATTTTAAGGCCTCAATGTCATGGTCGGTAGCACTCCTACGGCAGTAAAAAGACACATGCCGTCACCGACGCGCGAGGACCGAAAGCAGAGTACAAGGCCTAAACCACCAAGCACTCCAGGAAAACAACAAGCCAGCAAACACAGCACTAGCGAGTGAGTATCAAAAAGTAAGTTTTCAAACATCAATTAACATCTCATCAGTGACATTTCCTTGACACAGATCATATGGTTCCAAGGTACAAATAAGCAACGAAGAACTAGAGAAACTCCAACAAAAGGGTTACACGGTCGAGAAGCCTTTGTCGCAAGGATGTTCCGGCCGGATTTACCTTATGACCTACAGGCCTCCGCACAAGAAGAACGCCCCGGCCACGAAAATGGCTGTCAAAGTTATAGACAGGGCGATGATAGGGGAAAAGTTTCTCAAGAAATTCTTGCCGAGGGAGATCGCCATTTTAGCAGAACTCAACAACCCCCACTGCGTTCAAGTTTATTCAATTATGGAAGTCAATATGAAAAGCTTCTTCTTCATGAGGTATGACATCTCTATTTACAGATGCTATTAACTTCAAAAAGCCGATATTGGAATACTTTCCAAGAATAAAGACAAACATAAATTAATATAAAGTTTCTGTAAGATTAATAATCTTCAATTTCACACTTCAAAGAAGTAATTACAATGTAAATTGAAGTTGCTAAATTGCTCCTCAAATTTAAAAAAAAACTCGCACAATTTATCACTAAATGTCTTATTAATCAAAATAATATATCATTCTTTTACTTAACAAAATATCTCACACGTAGTATAACACAGTTGGCCTTATTTCATTATTTCATAACATAATTTTTTTTTTCTATATACTTTCTACTACGTATTACTTTTTAATTTCTGTTTTAAAAAGATGTTACGTCCAAGGAATAAAGTTATTAGCTTGAAATATCACTTTTTTTTATTCTGAAACTTTAGAACCCATTTATATTTACGACCATCTACCAAATACTTAAGAACAAATTCTACACCAAAATTGTCAATCAATAAATGTGTACGTATAAAATTTTAATTTTTATTCAATTAATTAATCTTTATGTAAGGTATTGGTTGAGATAACAAGTCAGCGTCACGAGCGGGATTCGAACCCAAGACCATCTGCTAAATACGCCTCTGCTCTACCACATGAGCTATCGTGTCTTCGATCCACACGGACACTAACTTCCCATCTAATTCCATTAGAGTCCGACTGGATCAAAGTCATGATAGCTCATGTGGTAGAGCAGAGGCGTATTTAACCTAAGGAAGATGACTTTTTTATCTCAATCAATACCTTACATAAAGATTAATTAATTAAAAGATGATATTTGGTCAATCGGACCACGAAATCTAATGAAATTAATTTTGATGTTAGGACGGGTGTAGCTGTGAGATATTTATATATTGATAAGCCTATCTTCGATCCTTCCTTTTGTCTAATAAGCAGTGATTTATAAATTCAAAGAGATGCAATCTTCAGCCAATGGATACAATTGTTTGTACGCGTACTTTCAATGTATTTACATCATTCAGCTCAATGACGAAAGTAGATCGTTTTTGTACCAGATGAAAAAAAATGAAAGTTTGAAATTGGGTTGGTAAATTGTTCTGGACTTCTTGCACTTTATACCTTTTAAAAAGTTACAGAATTATAAAGCTTTTTATTACCCTGATAGTGAATCAGTGTTGTGGCCAGTAATGTAAGAGGTATCTCAATTGACATGCTTGTGCCCCACAAAACAATGATGATGATGTTGACCGCAAAGTTAAACGTCGACAGTAGACATACAAACTCATATCCATTGACTAATGATTGTCTCTGTTTTCATGTATTTATCAACGGTATATCTAACGCTGAGGAAGGTCAAATATAGGCCGTAATCTTGGCAATACATCAATATCTCACAGCTGACTGAAGACAATTCTGACACAATCCTCATACCAATCCTAACAATTTCCTGGTCAATAACATCGATTTTTTTCAAAGTTTTTTAACATAACCAAAAAATTCAGAGGTGAGATTAATTTTAAACCTTTTTTTAAATTATCAATAAAAGTGTCATAGTACTGAAGATTAGGGGGTATATTTTAAAAAGCTCGACGAAGGAACTGTTGTTTGTTTTTGTTTTCTTGTTTTTCTTTCAAAATGGCATAAGCTCTGATAAAATATTTATAATAAATTAATACTGAACGCTGATCTTTAATTATATTTTAAAAACAGTTTATAAATAATCATGGTAGCTCAAGTGGTAAGAGCAGCGGCGAATTGAGCAAAGGTCGGTCGAATCTCGCTCGCAGCACTAACTTTTTCATTTCAACCAAGACCTTACATAAAAAGAATAATTAATTGAAAGAAGCAATTTGGTCAACAGACCTCTAAACATAATGGATTTATAAATAATTCTTATGTAAATAATGTTACTCAAATCTCATGAAGTTTTTAATTTGTCTGCAAAACCCCTGATTGTTATTCTATTAATTATACTGTTACAAAACTAACCACCAATTAATTAGAAAGCCAATTTTTCATTTTCATAACAAAACATTTACAATTGATAAACTAAAAGATGTTTTTCTTGTGGCAGATTTGCTGAAAATGGTGATTTGTTGGACTACTTGACTACAAGGGGCGCAGTCGACGAAACACACGCGAGGCTCTGGATTCGTCAGCTTCTTCTTGCCCTGGACTACCTCCACCACAAGTCGATAGCACATCGAGACATCAAATGCGAAAACATACTCGTGACGGAAAATCTCAACGTAAAACTGGCGGACTTCGGTTTCGCCAGGTGAGCAATTTGGACAAACGATAAAATAAAAATATTTTTTAAAAAAACAGAACCGTGATAACGTTGTTTTTTAAAGGAGTTGGGTCGGCCCCGACGGCAAAGATTTGCTCTCGGAGACGTACTGCGGATCCCTTTCTTATGCCGCGCCTGAAATTTTGATCGGAAAGCCCTACTGTCCGAAAAGGGTGGACGTTTGGTCCATGGGTGTCGTCCTGTTCATTATGTTCAATCTTGCAAAGCCCTTCGCTCAGACAGTTCCAGCATCGGCTTTGCAAGCCCAGTTGGCCAGAAATTACAGGTGAGCTTTGATATTTTGACTTTTGATATTTTCCCTTCAACCTATTATGTAAGTTGACCATCTCAAATGTTTAAAAAGGTTGTAGAACAAAACCACATATTTCAAATGAAAGTAAAAATTTGTTTTCCCTTTGCAAGTATTTTGATGAAACTCGAAGGAAATTGGATAACCACCTGTCAGGGATTATAATCTCTGAAAAATTCTAGATCCCAAAAGAAATATAACAATACTTTTTCTCGATAAGGGTAAATCTGCAAAAAGGAGGTGACTTATTATTATTGTTTTTACTGTAATATGTAATAAAAACAGCATTTTTTGGTACATTTATTTGAAATGAATTTGAAAATTACATAATTTCATCATGCTTGTCCACACGAATCTGTGATATAAGGAAATTATAATAATTTTCAATTTTAAAATAAATAAATAAAAATTAATTTTGTTTTGTTTAATGTACAACTTTTGTATTGCTCAGAAATTGAACAGACTAAATTAATAATTAATAATGCCTTTCTAAAAAAAATAAAATTAAAACGGTTTATTGAATAACGTTTTATGTTGGCAATGAATAATCATTTCCGAAATTGGTTGAATATAATATTTTTCTGAGATAGTTGATGAACTCATAACATGTTAGAAAAAATGTACGTCTGTAACTGTAATTGAGTAATGAAACATGTAGTCCCTCTGTCGAGTTTCATCAAAGGCAATTTTGGTGGTTAAATCAAATTTGAAGTTTTGAATAGACTCAGTCGGCAGCGAATTAACTGGAAGAAATATTTGGTTTTGTTTCAGATGGTCTCCGAGAGGTGTGAGAAATGCGAGCATAAGCTGCAAAGCTTTTGTATCGATGATGCTGGAGCCGCAGGCCCAGAGGAGGCCGACTGCAGCAGATCTGCTAACGGAGAGGTGGATGATGGAAGACGTTGATATTATCCGTCTTCTTCCCCACGACCCGACCACCTACAAACTCCATCCCAACGAATAGCCCAGTGATTTTTGTCGAATAATAACTTCGAGCGTATTTGCCGAACCAGTGGACTCGTTTTGTGCCGTGTGTGGTTTGAAAATTTCCGATGGTTTCAGGTGGAATTCGCGTGGTGCGCGCGTGAGCGGAAATGCTAAAGCATTTGTCGCCTCGATGCTAGAGCCGAAGAACACCGTCAGACCTTACCCTTCTCAACTTCTTGTCGAGATGTGGATGAATGACGATCCTGAAATTCTGAAGCATCTTCCTTACACACCCAAGTAAGGACGGGAGTCGAGTATGGTTGCTGAATATCATCGGAAAAGTAAATAGCAGGAAAACCGTTTTAAAACATATTGTCGTCATTTTTAATAATAAAAATATTTTAATTCGTTCATTTTTTCTACACTTACTCATAATGTGCACATTTACAAATTTAATAAAGGTCGTTAATGCGCGGTGGTTAAAAAATAAATAAAAAATCAATTGTTTGAGGAGAAAAAGTACATATATAGATAAATCCACGACTGTTAGAAAATCTGCCGATTAATTTTGTTTGTCATTTTGATCGGATGTTTTCCTTCTGTGAATTGCAGTTTGTCAGTATTGATCATCCCCGACCAAATATTCTCGCTATTTGTCCCCAATCAGGCGCGTTTAGAATTACGACATCTTGGGTGGAAATCGCATTACCTCCCTTTATGTAGCTTCCGGTCTTGTTCGGGGTGTATGTCCGTACCGATAACTTTTTTTCAGGCACGAAACTCCGTCCAGATTTTCTTTTGTATGTTTAAAAGTGAATCCTAGTCGATTCACTTCTATTCGCTTACAACGTTAGTGTAAACAATATTGGAAATGTAAAAAGAAATGATAAAAAAATGAGTTATTTTGTGCTATCACTTTTTCTTTGAACTTGAGTGCTTACACAACCTCATGAAATTAATTTTCATAAATCGATAAATTTGTTATTCAGTTCTAATGTGAATAGAAACAGTAAGAAAAGTCAGGTAAATGCATAAAATGCCAAATGTTCAATATTTACGGTAATTATTTATATAGCTAACGAAGCCCTGTTATTACCAATAATGATAACAAAATCTGTTAACGATTAAAAAAATCAACAAAAGAAATGCACAAAATGCAATTTTATCATGTTACAATTAAATGTTTTTTCCTTTCTTTACATGCGAAGAAATAAAACTAATAAATAAATTTTTCTTTAATTTTATTACAAATAAAAAATGGTAGCTATTATTACCATCATCAAATATGCTAAAAGTGATCTATTTTTGGATGTCAGTGACCACAACGTTTGGAGGCAGATCAACAGTTCGAGGCTGATGGGTTCGAATCCCAGCGGCCCGGAATTGTAACTAACAAACGAGTTTTTCAAAAACAATTCTCCGGGCATTGAATTTTTTTAATGATGATTTTTATAAGATGACATTGACATAGTTGTTATTTCGCTGTAATCTCTAACCCTAACATTCCTTTAGTCCTACCCCGAAAATAGTTATGATCATTGTATCATCATCATCATCATCATCATGCTAAAGGCTAGTATATAGGCAAATCGCCTGTAGACTTTTTTTGAACAAATTCAAGATGACCTAGAACCTTTTCGCACGTCCACACCTGCACAGCTCAGTTAAACTAGTCCGCGATAATGTGACGAGCGAGATAGCGGCCTGCGGCTTTGCTACTTGTGCAGTTTTAATTTTGATCAAAAGAGGAAAATTAATCGTAAACGTTGGTGGACGAGGAACGTTTTGGCAGACGGTCCTACATTAGGATTGACTCTTCTGGAAAAAGTAAAATTCGAAGATAGTTCATGCCTCAGAAATTTTACCCGGCTAGAAAACCACGGATTTTGAAAATTTGCTTCTTATGACCAATGAAGAAACAAGATTCAGAGCAGCCATTCCAGCGCCTCTCTGTTGTTGATTTTGCGCAACATATCTCAAATTTTCAATCCGAGCTGGGAGACCCTAGACATGAGATTTTTATCAGATTTGTTCCCGATATGTCAATCGCAGAACTTTGTCTATAGAAACGGGTTGCTCGATTTTATCTACGAGTGTGTACTAGCGTTAACAATCATAGATCTCTTACCGTCTATTGGTGTGAGGTTCCCTTCCTACATATCTCCTTCATCCTTCCCTAACTTCCGCAAGTGTTTTCGGTCACTCCAAGCAATTCTTCTTTTTTCACACGCCACCTTCGTACTATTTTCTCACTTCCCCCGCGGCCAACCTCTCCCCACTGACCCTTAACCCGTTCTTACTGGGTTGTACTCCCAGGCTGGTCGTTATTGTGGTATTACGCATTCTGTTTCTTTTTCCAGGACTCCGATGAGTATGTGAGTATTGAATGCAATGTACACTTATATATTGGCCCTTTGGAGACCTCTCTGCTGTTGAGGAACTCCTTTCTAACCAAACTGAACAACCTACTAGCGGCACATATCCTCTCCCCCACCTCTACTCATACCAATCCGTCATTACTGAGGTGCGCTCCAAAGTACCTAAAGCTGGTTACTACCTACCTACTCTACATTTTGCCTCTCTTATCCTAGGATCCTAGGATAGTACCCTGTGCTGCATTTTACCTATCCTCATTACATTCGTCTTTTCCTTACTAATTACCACATTAACTTTCACCAATTCGTTTCTAATGTTTATGGATAAGGACTCAGTCATTATTAGCCAATATTGGCAGATCATCAGCGAACGCTAATGGAAAACTTGGCTTGGGCCATATGCATGTAGCCCACATAAAAGCTGTGTATTTGTAGCTTGTCAGCTTTCATAACTTTATCGGTAAATTCATTACTCTTTCACTATCACAAAGAGGAGCCGGCTCAAGTTTCACTCCTCACGGATTCCGTAACTTGTCGTTTTATGCTGCGCAGTTCTTACCACATTCATGTTTTCCTTTTTCTTACATTACCACTAATATGTTTTCCTTCTTTACTCTATCGAATACCTAAACCAAATCTACAAAATACACTGGTACCTCCCTTACCTTTTCAATAACCTTCTTCAAAATTTGTCGCAACATAAAAATTAGGTCCTGGTTACTTCTTCCGGTTATGAATCACTATAGTGATTCTCATCCAAATCTTGTGCCACGACTCTCCTGATTTCTATTTCTAATCCAATAGTTGAAATGGATGGTTCTACTCACAGACTGGTTTTGCAGTGACCCGGATTTCAAACAGTAAATTCTGACATCAAGACGTTGCAAGTGATCTAAATGTAGGTTTTCCACTCTGATTGTAAGAAACGATTGGTGGATAACATGCAATGTTTGCGAATATAGATTCGTCCTTTTTAACTGTTTAACCCATCCTAAATTAATCCTACTCTTATCTTAACTCAACATAAATTTGGTTATATTTAAACTCATATAACCATTCCTAACCTAGCGTAATCTTACCCAACCAATTACATTCCCTGTTACGCGAAATCGTAGACACAAAACAATGTGTATTTCTGACGCACAAACATATTAAAGTCAAAAGAAGACACAGGAAAGCAATTCTTAAAAATAGTAATTACTAACAACTTTGAGAACTGTGATAGCCGAGTAGTTATTGAATCAGACTCTCTAAGCTAGCAGATTTGTGGGTTCGATTCTCACCGTCGCCCCTGAAATTCCCGACGCTGTCCTTACCCCAAAAATATTCTGGTCATTGTTTGGTACTTTCAACTCTTTATTTTAATTATTTAAATGAAAATTTTACGAGTTATGTTTGGTTTTGGTTTACAATTATAAAATCATGCTTCGTAAAGTATTATTCAATTATTATTATTTTTAAGAACAAAAATATTTTTTCTGACATACCAGCTTCCATTATTTTATTATAAAATTGTATTAAGAAATCACAAATAGAATTTTATATATTTCGGATTTTTCTTAAATTTAATAACTTTCGCAGAAATTTGCAACTTTTGGAAAATATAATAAAATAACAGAAGACGAAATAAATTTTAAAAATTTAACGTACTAATCATTTAATTATTTGTACAGAGTATTAATTATTGGTTATAATAATAAAAACCTTATCGCATTAACATCATTATCATTGATTAATTATCATTTCTTGTGCTATTGTGTTTTTACTAATATGAAATTAATCTTTGCGAAATTGTTTAAATTATTCTTCTGTACAAGAAAATAAAAACAAAAAGAGATTTCAGTTCCTAATAAATATAGAATATCAAAGGAAAACCATTGCAGATTTGTCTGTAGGATATCACATTTACGTAACAATGTTGGAAAGAGGGCAACTAGGCCCCGACCATACCCATGAAAGTTATATAAGAAATGTATACAGCATGGCATAAATGCATTTACGGAATTGGAATACGATAAAGCCAGTGGGCTATCTGTTTTTACAACCCTGTTCTGCCCTATTGGTGAGGGTGAGAGGGAAAGGACGAGGAAATTAAAGAAGCTTTCTGGAACTTAAAATTGAATTAAAGCACAACTTCCGTGTCAAGATAACGTCGGAAATCTTGATAAGTCTGTTAATGGAGGCTTAATTAGGCTCAAGGTTCGCTACGTGACCCAACTCTTATCTGGGGCTTACCGTACGCTAAAGGAAATCAAATTTGCCCAATCTTCGGTAATTGAATTGTAAAAAAATGAGTTAAGTTGCTTGAATCAATATGTTATTCACAAAAAAATATTTAACCGTACAAATCTACTAATAGTCATATCAAGCTATTAGCAATTTCAAAACTCCATGCAACATTCGTCTAAAACTGCATTTACTATTAATAAAAAAATAGTAGAAGTAGCGACGAACAAATATATTCATTTTACCGTGTTCAGATGTGATAAAAGCCTGTCCAATTTAATAATTACCATTAAAAAATGAAAGAAACCAATGAAACTCACTTCCATAAAATGGAAAATGAACTTATTCCCTTGAAAAACAACGCACTTCTAGCAGGATGCTTTTCCACAAAAAATGTTGTACTTAATAACTAGTGCAATTTTCATTGATTCATGCACTCACAGATTTAGGTTAATCGAGTTACAACGTAGTATGACAGTCGATCCAGGGACAATTCGTTCCAGTGATGGTTCTACCAGTATTGATTCGTGGCCATTGTCAATCATAGTCAAACTGTAAAAGATTTACTGTTTCTGCGTATTCATCAACTGACTAATAATATAAGAAATTAAAACCGTTATACTTAATTGCCTGGCGTGAAAGCATAAAAAAGTTTATGTTGCTTCTGAAAAAAAATAAACAAAACATTATAAATATTAATATAGCACCGAAATAATATCGAAAGAAACAACTAGAAAGCTTTCAAACACGTATGTACATGCAAGCTCACAAATCAACTCATACAAAACAACAAAACGCGCAAATAAGATGCA